TTCTTCAGACATTTCTTCGCCTCTTGTGCAGTGGGCTTTTAGTGCACATTAATCAGGAGCTATGCTTTGGCAACTCTGAGGGGTGCGATGGCCCAGTGATCTAATAATCGGGAGGTTCCGGGTCCATAACACTAAAGGGCGCTAGGCAGGCGCGGATCCAGGATTTCTTAGGGGGGGGGGGCCCAAATTTGAAATTATGCGAGCCAAATATTGGTACGTTATGGTGACCAACAGTGACGTAATGTGGGGGGGGGGGCGAGTTTCCCCCTCCCAGGCTTTGACGTTTCATTATATTATTAGAGAAAGAAGACGATTCGTTGTACCGTTCTCGAAAATAATTCTCGTCTTAATTTAGTTTTTCTCCTCCCGCGCGAAGCGCGGAAAATTTTACGATTTATTAAATTATTAGAGAAAGAAGACGATTCGTTGTACAGTTCTCGACTCTTAATCCTTGTCTAAATTCAGCCCCCCTCCCCCTCCTACGCGAAGCGCGGAAGCTTTGACGTTTTAATAAACTATTAAAGAAAGAAGACGATTCGTTGTACCGTTCTCGAAAATAATTCTTGTCTGAATTTAGTTTTTCCCCTCCCGCGCGAAGCACGGAAAATTTTACGATTTATTAAATTATTAGAGAAAGAAGACGATTCGTTGTACAGTTCTCGACTCTTAATCCTTGTCTAAATTCAGTTCCTCCCCCTCCCCCTCCTGCGCGAAGCGCGGAAGCTTTGACGTTTTATTAAACTATTAAAGAAAGAAGACGATTCGTTGTACCGTTCTCGACTCTTAATCCTCGTCTGAATTTCCCCCCCCCCCCTCCCGCGCGAAGCGCGGAAGCTTTTACATTTCATTAAATTATTAGAGGAAGAAAACGATTCGTTGTACAGTTCTCGACTCTTAATCCTTGTCTAAAATCAGTCCCCCCCCTCCCCTCCTGCGCAAAGCGCGGAAGCTTTGACGTTTTAATAAACTATTAAAGAAAGAAGACGATTCGTTGTACCGTTCTCGAAAATAATTCTTGTCTGAATTTAGTTTTTCCCCTCCCGCGGGAAGCGCGGAAAATTTTACGATTTATTAAATTATTAGAGAAAGAAGACGATTCGTTGTACAGTTCTCGACTCTTAATCCTTGTCTAAATTCAGTTCCTTCCCCTCCCCCTCCTGCGCGAAGCGCGGAAGCTTTGACGTTTTATTAAACTATTAAAGAAAGAAGACGATTCGTTGTACCGTTCTCGACTCTTAATCCTCGTCTGAATTATGCCCCCCCCCCTCCCGCGCGAAGCGCGGAAGCTTTTACATTTCATTAAATTATTAGAGGAAGAAAACGATTCGTTGTACAGTTCTCGACTCTTAATCCTTGTCTAAAATCAGTCCCCCCCCTCCCCCTCCTGCGCGAAACGCGGAAGCTTCTACGTTTCATTAAATCATTAGAGAAAGAAGACGATTCGTTTTATAGTTCTCGACTCTTAATCCTCGTCTGAATTCAGGTTCCCCCCTCCCGCGCGAGGCGCGGAAGCTTTTAATCTTCATTTAATCATTAGAGAAGAAGACGATTCATTGTACCGTTCTCGAAAATAATCCTTATCGGAATTTAGTTCCCCCTCCATCCCGCGCGAAGCGCATAAGCTTTTACGTTTCATTAAATAATTAAAGATTCGTATTACCGTTCTCGCCTCTGAATTCTCGTCTCAATTCAGTCCCCCCCCCCCCCCTCCTCCCCTCCTGCGCGAGGCTTTGACGTTTTATTATTAGAGAAAGAAAACGATGCGTTGTACCGTTCTCTATACTCTTAATCCTTGTCTGAATTTCAAAGAGGTGGGGTCGAGGCGGCGGAGCCGGCCCCGGAAGCTCAGGGGTTTTAGGCGTTTAATTAAGGTCAGATGAGCATATTTTTGTGTATACCTTATTATTTTGTGACACTGGCAAGTCACTATTTGGCGTGGGGTCCAGGGGGCGGAGCCCCAAAAAATCAGGGGTTTTAGGCATTAAATTACCGTCAGATGATCATCAAGGGCCCGCCGTAGGGCCCTAGATGGAATCCAGGGGGCAAAGCCCCCGGAAGCTTAGGGGTTTTAGGCATTTAATCACGGTCAGATGAGCATATTTTGATGCCTCGAGGCTCTCGATCCCCGCCGTTCCTCGGGCCCTGACATGTAGGTATCTCAAGAATCATATGTTTTGCCTGGTTGTAAATTTAGGAATTTTTTTATTTTCCAACAAACACATACAAACGTATAATTTACTAAAAAGTGAGGAAAAATTTCGGAAATTATGTCATTTCAGCATTATTTGTAATACACCGTTGTGGAATCAGAAATAAACCACGTTTGAATTTTATTTCCCCCAAGCCCCCCCCCCCCTCTATCAGTACGCCAGTATCTCCTGTTTTCCTTTTTTTTCTTTCCCTTTCCTTCCTTCTCTCTTATTTTTTTTTGATTGGGGGGGGGGGGGGGGGTAACAGCCTGGGAGGCAAGGCCCTTTCGGCCCCCCCGATCTCCTTCTTCCCCCTTTACTTTTCTTCTTCCTCTTCTTTCTTTCCCTTTTTCTCCTTTTTCCCTTTCTCCCTTCTTTTCCTTCTTCTCTCTTTTTTTTTTTTTTTTTTTTTGCGGGGGGGGGGGGGCCAAGGCCCGCTCGGCCCCCCCCCCCTGGATCCGCGCCTGGCGCTAGGTGTCCTTTGGTAAGGCATTAATCCCCATCACTCACACTGACTTATTACACTGACTTATTACTTACACAGACTTACATCTACCTTCCTAAAGTTGTCATCACTGAAACACAAATTGGCAACACTGTAACGTAAATTGCGACCCCCTCTTCAATTTGGTCTGTATCGATAATTTTCATAAAATTTCATTTTCTCAGTTATTGATGACAGAATAGATCGGTTTCATAAATTTCTGGATTTATAACACTTATTTGCAATAATTATATTGAGGGTGAATGTATGATTGTTAAGGTCTTTTAGAACGGGGTAAATGGGAAATGACCTCACAACAGAGTTGCCAACTTGTGTTTGATTGTTTGCATCTTCAAAATTTATAACTTTCTTATTTTTAATTGTTTTTTGATCAAACGTGCACTGACCCGTTCCTCTCATTTTCTGCTTTTATCAAAACCAACTTTATATCAGGGTGGACTACCCCTTTCAATGAGTTGGGTAAAATGTTACAGAAAGGAGGTAAACAAAAAACATACACGTTTGTCGGGGAAGACTTTATACCAACACTAGGTAATGTTTAGCCAATTACGGGTACATTTCACCCAGTAAACATGCTCAAATTATAATGGCTCATACCCAAGCCTGATTTTGAAGAAAAAAATATTTTGAAGGCAATTAACAATTTGGGAAGGTAGGTTTAAAGATAATTCTGAGTTCTGTATGGTAAATATAAAAAATAAATTCTCACAGAATCGAACGAAACTTACACTGAATGTTCAAGATTAGAAATTAATGACATGTGCAAAATAATATCGGTAGAACAAGTATTAGTGGCTGAGTAATGAGCATATGAAGATAAGGAAATCTACATATGGAAACATTTGCTTGGATTTGTCTCATAAAATAAATTGACCACAACACACAGCGTTGTGTGTCGGAGTCACGGGCATAGAACTGTAAAATACGTATGGTATACGTTTTTTTCCAACAAAAGTACAGAGAAAGTGCATATTATCTTTTTGTATTATACTTTTGAAAGATTACACAAGAAACACACTTTTTTTCAAACTTCACTTTTTCATGCAAAAATGCTTATTTGTTCTATGCACGCGAGTCAGATTGAGCGGATAATACAACGTTTCCATATGTGCAGGATAAACAATCCAGAATAAATCATAGCGATTTTCTCTCAAAAAACGATTCCAATAGTACCTGAGCTCACTGATATTATCTTTAATTAAGTGTGAGTAATATAACAAGGTAGTGTGTCAAGTATACAATTGTCAGATCATTCATTAAATTCAATTTATTGCTATTTTCATGAATTTGGAGTGGACTTTAAAAGATTATTGTTATTATTATTATTTTTATTATGATAGCAATTTAAAGACATTACATTCTCCTGCTTCTATTCTTTGAAAATGAAACTTCGAGTTGAATATTAATCATCGTATTCTCAGGGAGGGTGGGGGTAAAGCCGTGAAGTACATGCACTGACAGCAGAGCAGAAATGGGCCGGGAACATCCTCTTTCGATGGGCATTTAAAACATTCTCAGTTCTTTAATAGTAGGTCCATGATTTCAGAAAGCAGAGAATATGATTGAATGTAGACATTCTGAAGCCTTCCTTAAACCGCAATTTCCGTATTTTCTGGCAGCCTGTCGTCTCGAAGCCCGTTATGTAGTTGGGCGCAATTTGTTCCTTCAGTTTCCGTTATAACTTCATAATGTTCGATTTCGGCTTTGTGCTTATTCTTGATGAGTGGTAAAAGGAAAGTTTCAGTACGTCGCTAATCTATGCTGATATTCTTAATCGTGTTGCAATTTCACCGTAGCTTTGTACCTAATCAAAATGTATTTCATGTTTGTTTTATTTTCCTTAGACTTTGAAAATGGCGTCCAAAACCATGATTGCTCTCTACTTTCTGATTGCCTTGGCCGTGGCAGCAATTGTTTTAGTCGAGGAAGATGAGATCGACAATTCTAATGCGTTGAATGTCGAGGAAAATTACGAGAAAGGCTGTAAGCAATTCATTTCCAATGTTGTCAACCAACTAAACAAATACCATTACAAAGCAACCGACCAAGTAATTTCAAGAGTCGAATATAAATGCTTGTGCGGTTACCTATTGAAATGTGCCAACATGGCAATGATGTTTCGACATAATCCGACCAGATTTAAAGAAAGTTTGCACTTTTAGAAAGATACTTTCTAGTAATTATTATCCTTGCCGATGATATTTTGTGATAACTTTAGTTACCAACCAAGTTTTTGTTTGATTCGATTTGATTTATTAATTTATTATTGTTTTGATAACTTGTTGTATTTTATTTTTGTATTGCAGTTTGTAGGGACTTGTGGAAAGCGACAAGACGAGCTTGTGTTGCTGGTAAGTCGAGCATGAACAATATTTCCCCCAAAAAAAATCATAAGAAATAGAATGCTCCTTCTTTGATATACAAATAATGAATGCTTATGATTCGTTGAAAAATTAACGTTAATTCTATTCAACTCATTAAAAATTTGGCACTTTTGAAAGATTGAAAAAAAAAAAAGATTATTTGTTTTATACAAAATCGAAAAAAAATCTAATAGAACGTTAATCTTTCAACAAATTATGCTTTGCTCCTTATATTGAAGAAAAATTTTTGTCTTTTATTTTTGTATTGCAGCTTGTGCACGGATGCCGACGAAAGTTTGTGCTGGTAAGTCAAGCATGAACAATATTTCAAAATCTAAAGAAAAATGCATAAGAAATATAATGCACCTTCTATGATATACAAATAATAAATGCTTATGATTCGTTGAAAAATTAACGTTAATTCTATTCATCTCATTAAAATTTTTGGCACTATTGAACGATTAAAAAACATTCATTATTTATTTTATATAGATCGAAAACGATGTAATAAAACGTTAATATTTCAACAAATTATGCTTTACTTCTTATATTGAAGATAAATTTTTGTCTTTCATTTTTGTATTGCAGGTTGTGAAGAGGTCGATGGACACTGGATACCGAAAGGACTAGTTTGTGCTAGTAAGTCAAGCACGAACAATATTTCCAAATCTAAAGAAAAATGCATAAGAAATAGAATGCAACCTGCTATGATATACAAATAATGAATGCTTATGATTCGTTGAAAAATTAACGTCAATCTTTTAACTCATGAAAATATTCGCACTATTGAACGATTGAAAAACATTCATTATTTGTTTTATACAACATCGAAAAAGATCTAATCAACAAATTATGCTATGCTCCTTAAATTGATGAAGTTGGAGTCAGGCCTTCTCCATTGCCTTCGCGTCAGATGCGCACAGCTAATATAACAATGGGATACGCGCAGGGAAGAGAGGTACGCAGTCTGCATATAACCAAAAATGCACGCTCGTTGAATAGTACTACGGCGAATAGTACCAAAAATACACGCCTGTGCAATAGTATGTCTATTGAATATTATGTGGCCAACAATCCTGTATAATGTACAAGAAAGAGATATCGACTGCTTTGAGAGCCAGACCTCGAATATTAAAGCAGTCGATAGGCGGTGTCACACAGAGGCCAAAAATTCGAATTTTAGTTATCCGTTTTTTTAATTATCCTCTTTTTGGCTTTCTGACATCAATTATCCCTTCAAAAAACCCTTCAAAAATCCCTTCAAAAAGCCTCATATGAAGCAAGATAATTCTCTCTTGAAAGGATTTTTCAAGCGTTTTTTGAAGGGATTTTTCTGTCTGACACCAATGTTGAAATAATCCCTTTTAATAAGCATTGTGACATCACACGTTTAAATGCGCGCAGTTAAACGTGTGATGTCACAATGCTTATCTACTTTAACGGCGCATATACTTTCGATTGAACGTGTGGTGTCACAATGCTTATCTACCTTAACGGCGCATATACTTTCGATTGAACGTGTGATGTCACAATAGACCGGGAGCCAGGGGGGTCAACCTAGCTGGGAAGGAAACCAATTTTCATGTGCACAGATGTGAAGATCACATAGCTCCACATAACAAATTGACCGTCTGGCATGTTCTAAGTGGTGGGTGTGGCCAGGGGGACGCCCCCCACCAAAAAAGTGGCCCTTTTGACGACAAAATAGTATTTTGTAAATAACATTTTAAGAAAACCTTGAACCACTATGGGTTTGGTGTCATTATGAAAGAGAGTTAAATTATCTACATTTTGATACCAATTTCAAAGAATTTGGGATTAATTAAAATCGCAAATTTAAGTAAAAAACATGATTTTTGTGATTTTTTTTCAAAAAATTGAATTTTATAAAAAAAACATTATTTTCCATAAATCGAAATGGGAAAATTGAATTTTTGAAAAACTTTTTAAATCTTGAGCCAAAAAGGTGCTTTATTGTAGATATTCCTCTGGTTTTGGCCAGTATATCTGTATATTAACTGGACAAGTGATTGGACATTTAGTAGTGCAGAAAGTTCAAAGGATTTAGAGCGCTGAGTGCAATAGATCAGTTCTTCTCCGTACTCTGGGATGTTTCAGGAAATGTGGACATTGGCAGTTCACCCCCCCCACCACCCCCACCCCGCCCCCCTCCAGCCCCCCTGACTTTAAAAAAAAAGTATGTTAAAGAGAAAAAGAAAGAAAGAGAGAAAGAAAGAATGAGTGACCTGCCGGTGTCACAAATGTGGTATCAAAATATGCTCTTCTGACCGTAATTATATACCTAAAACCCCTGAGCTTCCGGGGGCTCCACACCCTGGACCTCACCAAGGGCCCTAAGACGGGTCCCTGTCTGTTCATCTGACCATAATTAAGTGCCTTAAACGCTGAGCTTCATGGGACACAGCCCCCTGGACCCTACTTCAATTAGTGACCTGCCAGTTTCACAAATAAGGTATCTAAATATGCTTATCTGACCGTAATTTAATGCCTAAAACCCCTGCAGCTCTTGAGGGCTTTGCCCCTTGACCCCGCCGGGGCAAAGACACTGGACCCCACGCCAATTTACGCTGCACTCGCTCCGCTCTACCTGATCGTTAATACTCCACTTTGAAAAACGTTCCGCGGGGCCGGCATGTAACGTGTAAGAGTGAGGTTGGTGCAGATTTTTCTTCTGCTCCCCAAAAAGTTTTTGCTCATTACGCCACTGCCCCTGAAAGGTGCGCCCCTGGAATGTTTGCCCCCTCCCCCAATCCCAAACTGCTTCAGGTGCACCTGGGTGGGGTGTTTGTCAGACGGCCCTAAAATACCCTAACCTCAATATTGAGCTAAATCAGCTTGAAAGGAAACCCCAATGGAACCTATATGAAAATATTCGCCACAGGCCAGCGATACACAAATGGCCATTGCCACACGATTTAAATGGTGGGGAGTGACTGCGAGACACCCTTTGATGCTAGATATAGATTGTTGAGAGAAACCTCGCGGGACTAATGTGAAAGGCAAATTGTACTTAGGTTTAAATGTCCCTTTCCTGCACTCCTTCCTGATATGAATACGATAAAAATTAAGAGCTATATACCTTACGATTTAACTTAAGTCTTGTGCTACTGTAAAAGTCAATGACAATCTTTTTCGAACTCTACTTATCTTTACCTAGGCCTGTACAGTAATTATTGTTATTGGGTTATTAAAATTCGCAAAACAATGTCCAACCAAATGCTTTATGCAACGCCTTTAACCATTTTATTTCTAAAGGCAATATCACAACGCAACACATGTTTTCAACATCAAGGAAAAATCCATTTGAGATCAAATAAAGCAATATTAAATCATGTCCATATCTAACTCCAGGAACTCCTGGAGTTAGTCCATATCATGCATAATTTATGTCCATTTACGTACCAAATAATTTGCCCGAAATATTGTGCCTACTTGAGTTGGATCGTATATGGTACATACAGGCGCGGATCCAGGATTTCTTAGGGGTGGGGGCCCAAATTTGAAATTAATTTGAAATTTAGTGTGCTGAAATTTTAAAATCGTGCAGGCCAATATTACGCTCAGTGGGTGAGGGGGGGGCACTAAGAGAGCACTAATTTATTTTTTTTGGCCCTCGAAAATGTAAAAAAATCGCACCCCCCCCCCCTTGAGCGCCAGTGGGGAGGGCCTAACTCCTACAAAAAGTTAAAATTAACGTGTTTTTACAATTTTTTTCCCAGGGCAGAAAGGGAAAGAAAAAAGAGAAAGAGAAAAGGCAGAGCCCTCAGAGGCTCAGGGGTTTTATACATCAAATTATCGTCGGATGATGATAATTTTATACCTTATTTGTGACACTAGCCGGTCACGAATTGGCGTGGGGTCCAGGGGGCGGAACTCCCGGAAGGTCAGGGGTTTTGGGCAATAAATAACGGTCATATAAGCATTTTTTTATACCATATTTGTGACACTGGCAGGACACAAATTGGTGTTGGGTCCAAGGGGCGGAGCCCCCAGAAGCTCAGGGGTTTTACACATTCAATTATCGTCAGATGAGCATATTTTTTACCTTATTTGTGACCCTGGCAGGTCATAAATTGGCGTAAGGTCATGGGGGCAGAGCTCCCGGAAGCTCAGGGGTTTTGGGCAATAAATTACCGTCAGATAAGCCTAATTTATACCATATTTGTGACACTGGCAGGACACAAATTGGTGTTGGGTCCAAGGGGCGGAGCCCCCAGAAGCTCAGGGGTTTTGGGCAATAAATTACTGTCAGATCAGCATAATGTTATACCATATTTGTGACACTGGCAGGACACAAATTGGTGTTTGGTCCAAGGGGCGGAGCCCCCAGAAGCTCAGGGGTTTTACACATTCAATTATCGTCAGATGAGCATATTTTTACCTTATTTGTGACACTGGCAGGTCATAAATTGGCGTGGGGTCCAGGGGCAGAGCCCCCGGAAGCTCAGGGATTTAAGCATTAAATTACCGTCAGAATAGCATCCAGCCGTCCGCCTTAGGGTCCTAGACGGGGTCCAGGGGGCAGAGCCACCGGAAGTCAAGGGGTTTTAGGCATTTAATTACGGTCAGATGAGCATATTTTGATACCTTTGATATTTTCCCCTTTTATTTCCTCCTTTTATTTCAAATTGATCTCAATAGTAGTTGTGAAACTTTCTCTTTGAAACACACAAAGACAAAAACTGAGATTCAATCGAATCAAGTAGTTTCATAATGTTCCTTCAATGTTTGTACTGAATTACTTTATCACAATAGGGATTGTGCAGAGTATTGGGTGCTAACAAGCATACACGTGTTTGTAGTCAGGCAAAATAAGCCATTTAACCAAACATGGCGATATTATATTATATTATATTCATGTTGATCGATGCACTAACTTTTGGGCAAGATTATGACAAGCGACTGAAAGGGGGCGGGGTGGGGGTGGTGGGGGGGGGGGGGGGGAGAGGGAACTGCCAATGTCCACATTCCTGAAACATCCCAGAGTACAGGAGAAGAACTGATCAATTGCACTCAGCGCTCTAAATCATTTGAACTTTCTGCACTACTAAATGTCCAATCACTTGTCTAGTTAATATACCGATATACTGGCCAAAACCAGAGGAATATCTACAATAAAGCACCTTTTTGGCTCAAAATTTATATTTCAAACACTTTATCACTCATTAAAATTGTTATCAGAATGAAGTGTTTTAATTATCCATCTTTTGACACCAAATACATGGTGATTAGAGGTTTTAGTTCAAAGTTATCTTTAAAACTTGATGTAAACACACCAAACAGGTCCTTAATACACTAATGCACGTATATGCATACAGTTTATACACATGTGGGCAAAAATGTTGTTTTTGTGGAAATCAAATCCATAACTTTGGATTGGTATAACTTTTTATTGAAACAATATATAAACCTCTCCTTCGCATAGGTTATTGTCGTTGAACGTAAGCAAATTCCTGGAAAGTTTTTAAAAAAAAATCAATTTTCCGATTTTGATTTATGGAAAATAATGTTTTTTGATAAAATTCAATTTTTTGAAAAAAATCACAAAAATCATGTTTTTTACTTAAATTTGCGATTTTAATTAATCCCAAATTCTTTGAAATTGGTTTCAAAATGTA